AAAGGACTCTGAAGAAAAATGTAAAAAGGGCGTATATAAATTTTATAGACTCCAGTTACTCTAATAGTCTGAGAAAAAAACATATTATTTAAACATAGTAGTAAAAAAGGACTCTGAAGAAAAATGTAAAAAGGGCGTATATAAATTTTATAGACTCCAGTTACTCTAATAGTCTGAGAAAAAAACATATTATTTAAGCATAGTAGTAAAAAAGGACTCTGAAGAAAAATGTAAAAAGGGCGTATATAAATTTTATAGACTCCAGTTACTCTAATAGTCTGAGAAAAAACATATTATTTAAACATAGTAAAAAGGATATATATCCAAAGCCGAGCCTTTATTAACATCAAGGACCGGACCGGGCGTGGCCAGACAATTACTTTGCCGGATTGTGAATTCGAGAATTCCTTCTTCGTAGTCCATTGTTGCTAAATCGCGCTTTGCAATTTAGGGCTGTGGGTACATCATAAAAATGAAGTTCAAATCATTCTATTCAATTAGAGTAGCCCAAGATGCTGTTATCTAGCTGCCTTCTCTCTAATCTATTAGTTAGAAATTAAATACGAGTAGCATAGATAGCTCTTGTGTAGCTTTGCACGAATATCAGAAAGAAGCAAACAATACTAATATCAGCATGTCTCTTATAACTTTCCGGCCAAAAAATTCGTTTACTTTTTTTTTTTAAATGCAGTGAAGCTAAATTTACAAAAACAAATGTCAACCTTCTGTTATTTATCTACGGCAAAAACATAAATAATCTAAACACTTTGAATAAAAGAGGAAAGTATTAACTACACTTCTTTGATTATATATACCTCTTGTATTACATTAAAAATTTACCTCTGCAAGGAAGTCTGCTTTTTATAATTTTTAGTGTTAAAATATCTGGTTTTTAGTGTTTTATACATACATATATACTAATATCCTTTTCGGTACAAGAAAGGAATTAATGGGACCCCAGAAAGAAGAGCGAAGAAAGAAGAAAGAACTAGAGCGATAAGGCTCGTCATTTTTTTCTTTACACTTTGTCTGGAAAAGTCACTTACTTACTTAAATGAAAATTCATTGAAATAGTGAAATCTTGATTCATTCCATGAACACGTTTATAGCGATTTAGACGGCATTATAAGCACAATAAGCTTTAGTTTTGCTCAGCCAATACTGTGAAATAGCCATTGTTAATATTCAGACATTTTAAAGGTGGATTTAAACGGGCGATTTTTACAGCCGCCATTTTGTTTGAGTGGTTCAAAAACTATTTTATTTTTCATCTCATAAATTTATGTAGGTTATATAATGAAAATAGTTATATACAGAAAAGAAAATGCAATCAGTTAAATAAAATTCAACTGAAGTTTGATCAAAGGGTACTTCCGTTCTTGCAAGGAATTTTGTTTTTATCAGCACTACTTAATGGACTCTTGATCATAAATAGAATGTAACGGTGTATTAAACGTATAAACAGTTGCGTGTACCCTGTATATATATTGGCAATAAAGATTAATTTCATGGAGTTACAATAATACAATAGAATAACTATTAAATAATATATATATATATGTGTGTGTGTGTGTGTATATTGAAAGTAACTGTAAGGAAGACCGCTATTTCTTTAACTCGAGTTATCTATTTAAATAAACGTCAGTATGTGTGTGTGTATCTGTTCCTTATACGTTTCCACATTTCTTGATCAATCAGCACCAAACTTGACACAATGATACAGGATGACATGAGAAAGGTCATGAGGGGTTGGATCCCCATCCAATTTCATATTTATAAAATTCTTGAAAACAGTATGTCTTTCTTTTCAGTATTGGTTCCTTTATGTATTTTTATTGCACTTTTAATGTTTATTATGTTAAGAAAAATAAATAAAAAAAGCACAATTTCCTATCCTTTGTCACAAACATGTTTTTATTTCACCCGTCCAAAGGACGGGTACTCCAGCTAGTATTGCAATAAAAAAAGCATTGTTTTATATTGTCTTTATTTTTTATATACTTGTAACTAATACTCTCAATCGAAACGATTAGTGGCAGGTTTTTTTATGAACAAAAATATGCCTTGTGAGAAAACATCGTTATTCAGAAGTTTTCTACCGGTGCTTTCAAGAAGCTTTTTTCAATCATAACTGCTAGTGTCTCAGTGCGAACTTCATAAGACGAGCATATTTTATGCGACATTTGCGTTTTGAAAGTAGTCATAACAGAGTGGTACGAATTTTATAATCGTCAAAATAGTTTCCTCGACTCGTCGTAAAACTTCTGTCATCTTATGTTTATACACATCTAAGAAATCGTATTCAAACCATGACACGATTTTTAAAGTCCAACTGTTACTTGTGGCTTTTGTTTACACTATATCTTTACGATACAAGAACGTGTTTATAACTCCAGGAACCATGCTAACAACACACGAATTTGGTAGAGTTTACTGGTGACGTTTATTTATACTACATCTTTACGATGCAAGAACGCGTTTATAATTCCAGGAACCATGCTAACACTACACCAATTTGATAGAGTTTACTGGTAACGTGTATTTATACTACATCTTTACGACACAAGAACGTGTTTATAACTCCATGAACCATGCTAACACCATACGAATTTGGTAGAGTTTATTGGTAACGTGTATTTATACTACATCTTTACGACACAAGAACGTGTTTATAACTCCATGAACCATGCTAACACCATACGAATTTGGTAGAGTTTACTGGTGACGTGTATTTATACTACACCTTTACGATACAAAAACGTGTTTATAACCCCAGGAACCATGCTGACACCACACGAATTTGGTAGATTTTTACTGGTGACGTGTATTTATATTACACCTTTACGATACAAAAACGATGTCAGACCTCCCGGAACCATGGTAACACCAAGTATATTGATAATCCAAGGGTTATTGGTGACATTTATTTATAGTATGCATCTTTACTAAGCAAAAAAAAATGTACCAAACGTCTTTAAAGAGTCATGCTAAAACCAACTAAACTTGGTAGTCCAGATATTATTGACGACTTTTATTTATAATATACCTTTACTGTAGATGAAAATGTATTTTTACCAAAGATGAATAAAAAATAAATGATTATAATTGTTTAATCTAGTTGACACCATAACAGTTGTTGCTCACGCAGGTGATGATGTAAATATTGTCAAGACCAGCCGGCCTGATAATTCCTAGTACTGGATATGGACACAAACATGAGTAGTTGACATATTATTATATATTCGATTTTGCTGTTACTCGTAAGTTCTTAGAAGAACATCGGAATCGTTCTCTATTATCATTTCAAGATTTCCCGGACGTTCAAGGAGCCAAAAAAGATTATTCTCGAGCAGCGAAACCTAAAATATTATTTCTGGCTAAACAGGGACGCAAGAACCGGGCGTGAATTTCCTGGAATGGGTAGAGAAATTCGCGAGGTATAAATATACATACCCATGATCAAACAGTCCACACAGTTAAGCATCACTATACTATCTGCATATATTCTGATAAGCTACAGTCAACTAGTAAGTGAGATTTATACAATAAAATTTAATTTGATCATAGTAAGTACAAATGTATTACTTGTTAATTGGTTTGTTTTGAAACTACGTTATGAGTTATCTATAAGCAATTAATCAAATATTTCTTTACAATCATTAGCTATTTGAGCTTATTCATGGAGTCTTTGTTTCACTAACAGTGAAAGTTCATGAATACGAGTGAGTAGTGAGTCTAGCAAAAAATGTATGGGTATCTTAACATGGATCTAAAGATAAATAAAATATATAAAGGGGGGATTCTTTTGAAAATGTCACTCAATTCTTTCAAAGGTAAATTACAGCTTCTAAGGTTTTAAGAGATTTGTGAGGAAAACCTGGCAGCGTACGGGAAATAAACTATTACTTTGGGTTTCAAAAGAACAATATGAGCATTATTTCGAAGACAGAGTGTGTACATACGCTATAATAAAACTCAAATTAAATCTCACTCCCACTAACTTTTTTAAACCTGAAGATTTGTGATGGTATTACTGAAAAATATTAACCAGGTTAACTTTATTTAATATAAAAAAGTAGCAAAGTTTCAAAGAAAATAGAAAACGTATCTTGATATGTACTTGTAATTTCTTTTTTCTTTTCTTTTTACAAGAAACCATGAAATCCAGCACAGTCCTGTATGCAGTAGCATTAGTTCTTGTGGTCTGTTTCATTTCGACCGTGTTTTCCATACCCAGTCCTTTTTTTTATAATCGCTCGTTCTTTTGCCAGTCAAGATGGCAACACGTAAGTGAAGTTTTGGATATTAATTGTTTTTTTAACGTTTGTGATAAGTTGTGCAATTACTATTTCTAAAAGCGTAAAATAAAAATTGTATGCATAATATTAAAATGTTTGAGACATAGACTCAAATTATACATTTTAATTATGAGTACAACAAGCAGTATCAGATCATATGAAACAAGTTTTATAGAACATAAACTTCGTCTTAATTTACTGTTATAATTTCTTTATGTTATGTTACTTTTTATGTTTAAGTGCTCTTGGATTTCAAAGTGTTGCGCACCATACGCTTGCATATGGGGATTATGTCGATGAATCAATACACACGATCTTCGTGGGCGATTTCTGAAGACACAAAATGTCCACTACGAAGATGAAACGAGGATGTTTCTTGAATTATATTAAAAGCATTTTATTCAGTAGTCTATATTAATCATTAAGCTAATAATTCCGTGCATTTATGATGAGGCTCTTTTATTGAATTAAAGTTTGTAAATCATATTATTATATTATGTAAGGCTAAGTTGTTATTTTAATATTCTCATACAATAAATATTCTTCGAAACACTGAGTGGTTTGTTTTGAATCCAGTCAACAACACGGTACAATTTGATTACGAAACCAAACTTATCCAGCATATTGTTTGTGCATGTGTGTGTGTAAAAGAAAGTAGAAATCTTTATTTTATAAAAAGCACATTATATTAAAATATACATCAGTATTTAGATTAAAACTTATAAATAGTTTATTTCGAATTTCTATTCAAAAACTTAAGCAATGCCTAATAAAAACAACCACTAGAAATTGTAGTTTCAAATTGTTATTTTTTTTCAGTACAAAGACTGGCCGAGCGCACTCTAGTGGTAAGCGTGTCGGACTGTGGAGCTGAGGTTCCGCAATTCGTGTCCCGTTAATGAAACAAACATTGTGCTCCACAGGTTGAAGCCATGGCAGTATCATAGGAGCGACTGTCAAATTACCCCAACAAACAATACAAATATTTATTCTTCTTCATGAAGGTGGAAAATAGATTACATTGACATAGTAAAAAAATGAGCCTAAGCAAATTTGTTATAGATTCTAATGATTACAAAAAATTTTACAGTACCAGTGCACAAAATAATATCAAATCTTTAGCTTTAGTAGTAAATCCAGGCATGCTTTTTAACTCAATTTTTATTGTTCTATAACCGTCCCTAATCTTGAACTGATAGACCATTGGTAAGGTAGCTAGTCAATAACACCCACTAATAATAAGTTGGCAAACAACGATTTGTAAGCATAATGAAAAGATTTATCTATGGGGGAACATACTACATATTTCGACAGAACATTGGTCTGTCTTCTGAAGAAGACAGAACATTCAGAAGACAGACCAATGTTTTGTCGAAACATGTAGTATGTTCCCCCAAAATAAATCTTTTTATTATGCTTATGAATCGTTGTTTGCCAACATACTACTATATTAACATAACGTGCTTCCTTACTCTGCTAAATCTTAGTCAAAACTAAGGACAGAGCGCGAATTTAGAGAAATACGACGCAAATAATGAACTCTGAATTCACAATCTGCCACACCAATCACCAGATCACGCCCAATCAGATAAAATAGTTTTTAAACTACAACATTCAATTCGTTTTGCTTGAAACATACGAAAATATTGCGTGTCTCTAAAATAATACAATTGTTCAGTCTGAAAAAACCAGCAAAACAATAGAACCAAACTATGACGACTTGTGAAAACCACTACACAATACGTATGTCATAAAATATACTGTTTTCTTAATAAAACCAGACTATGACGACTTGTGAAAACCACTATACAATCCGTATGTCATAAATATGTTGCTTTCTTAATAGAACCAAACTATGACGACTTGTGAAAACCACTACACAATCTGTATGTCATAAAATATGCTGCTTTCTTAATATAACCAAACTATGACGACTTGTGAAAACCACTACACAATCTGTATGTCATAAAATATGCTGCTTTCTTAATAGAACCAAACTATGATGACTTGTGAAAACCACTACACCATCTGTATGTCATAAAATATGCTGCTTTCTTAATAGAACTAAACTATGACGACTTCTGAAAACCACTACACCATCTGTATGTCATAAAATATGCTGCTTTCTTAATAGAACCAAACTATGACGACTTGTGAAAACCACTACACAATCTGTATGTCATAAAATATGCTGCTTTCTTAATAGAACCAAACTATGATGACTTGTGAAAACCACTACACCATATGTATGTTATAAAATATGCTGCTTTCTTAATAGAACTAAACTATGACGACTTCTGAAAACCACTACACCATCTGTATGTCATAAAATATGCTGCTTTCTTAATAGAACCAAACTATGACGACTTCTGAAAACCACTACACAATCCGTATGTCATAAAATATACTGCTTCCTTATACAGGTGTAATAAAGATTATTCGTGTTATTTGAATATGTTTCAAAACTCCAAGTTCCTACCATTATAATGAAAGTGGTTGACCTTCAGTGTGACCTTAACCTTTAAGCTACATTCACCAAACGTTAAGCAGTATCGAAATTTGTCAAAATCAGATGAAACCTTTTCGAGTTACGCCGTTCACACACACACACTGAGGAGTGAAAACGATACCTCTCTTCTCGCCGTCGGGCAGGGATGAAAAAAGGGGCACTAACTTAATGCTAAAAATAATTATGTTAAATTTAAATATCCATAAGCTACTTGTAAAAATTGTCTCATTAATATGTCTTGTAAAAACATATGAATTATATTCAAAAAATTATAGTAGAACAATATAAATATTATTTAATATTGAATATACAACATATCATCAAGACTAAAGTAATGTATTTTTATATTATTGATGTTTATTATAACAGGCATCATTACATGGAAAAAAATAAATATAACATATTAGTTGCTCTCCCCCCCCCCCTTAGCTCAATGGAAATCTGTGGGCTTATAACACTAAACTAGCCCATGATGTAGCTTTTGTGCTTAACAACAAGGAAAAGCACATTAAGTACATAGTATTTCTGAAAATTGGAATCGCATACCAGTTAACTGCCTATTGTTTGTGTTTTGCTTTGAATTGGTACAAATTAATATCAAAAATGAATCTTATAAGTCTTAATATGTTGCACAATTAAAAAAACACACCTTTATTCAAGTAGATAAGACAATTTTGCAACGACGTTTTTGACATTTATCAAACATAGCTTAACATATAAAGATTTAAGCCATATTAATCTACCTTAGCGCGCACAAACTAACAGCAAATTTGCTCCTATTGATGATTTTCGTTTTTGTTTTTTGTTTTGCAAACGAACAAAAAATAGCCATTTTCAGTTGATAAAAAAAATTGTGCTGCATAATAACGGCATAGAAAAATAAAGTGTGACCTTACAAAATTCTTTTAACGTTATTCATGTGATGAATTTATAATTTTATTAGTTCAAAATACGAGCATTTTATTTGTAAACATTTCTATATGATATTTTCTAGAATTTAACATGTTACAGCATTTGATCTTTCTGATGAGCACCATATAGCTTATCTCTTAACTTGAATTGGACAAAATCCTGCCAAATGTACGAAACAGAACGCTAAGGGTAACTAAAGGTGGAGTTAAATGATAAAAAAAGATCCGATCCCTTTACTGTGAAATATAAGATCAAGCCTTTTCCTCGAAAGTTCGAATGCTGTGATACCAAGAAAATTGTACTTTTAAACGACAATATCTTATTTATCCCCTCTCCATTTGTAGCTGGCAGTGAAGAAATTAGTAGTTTTATTTTCATTACTTTACTGTGTCACGAAGATTTAGTACAATACCAGCAGCTTAACTTAAAAAAAAAATGATTTAAACTATAAACACAAAAGAAACATCAAATTAACTATTAGTGTTACTTTGCCAGTATATAGGTTATTTGGATAACAGATGTACGAAAGTGTAGATCTGCTATACATCAGAGAGAAGACTAGACAGTTCCAATCAAGAAAACATACATTCTAACTAGTTACTTAGTTTTTCTACTTTTTTAGCTTGTTAATGGAAATGTGATTTTGTTTTATTTGTTGAATTTCGTGCAAAACAACTCGAGGACTTTTTGCGCTAGTTGTTCCTAATTTAGAAGTGACAGGCTAGATGGAAGGCAGCTAGTCAACAGCGCCCACCGCCAACTCTTAGGCTACTCATATCTAATAAAGAGTAGGATTCAGAGTCATGACACTATATTCATTTGGCCACACTCTGCTCATGTTCATTACTGTAGAAACTGACCGTAGATTTCGAGTATGCAGCGAAAAATGCAGTATTTTTTTTTCTATCAGTTAGTGCTAAGAATAGCCCCCAATTTATAATTTTGTTAGTGTTTTGGACGAAAGAGGTTAAATTGTGGAAACAACAAAAAATGTTTTTTTTTACCATTTATGAAACAAAATTTTCAAAAAAATATGCACAGTTGTGCTTATTCACTTATATCACATATCTTTCTTTCTTTCTCATTTTCTCAATATATATAGGTGGATGACTTAGGATAATTATGGACTTCTTAAATGTCGAGTAGCAAAAAACGAATACCTAAAACTAATGTGTCAGTAATTCTTGTCGTGCTCTCCGTTACAAGCACAATCTGACATTGTGTGTACAAGTCAGCTCATAAATATATATCTCAAGGCGTATGGTAATTCTTTCAGAGTAAGCATGGTACGGCAGTTTGTTAAGAACATGAGCTGGTCTGTTATACCTTACACATCCTGAGCATGACAAGGTCATGTACAAGTCAGCTCATAAATATATATCTCAAGGCATATGGTAATTATTTCAGAGTAAGCATGGTACGGCAGTTTCTTAAGAACATAAGCTGGTCCGTCATACCTTACACATCCTGAGCATGACAAGGTCAGAAACATGTCGAAGACCACAGGCGAATCCAGCTGGCTCTATTCAGATTCGTTAACGATTTCCGCTTAAAATCCTAATTGATAATTGTATTTGCAAGATGATCTTAGCTCAACAAATTACAACTTAAACGTAGCTCCCATTAATATTGAGTTTGAAAAAAGCCATAACGATCTGCTGTTTCTCATATTTTAGTTGATAGATAAATATTGAATTACTCAATCAAAAATGGAAAATTTTGGATTGTTGTGCAGAGCATTGAAAGATGCCCTTGTACACAACGGACAGTGAAATAGCATGTAAACTTTTTTTTAAAGATGCTTACATTATAAGTGGATGTTTAGAGGTCAGTGAACAGTAAATTATTTCCTCAGTAGGAAGTAAAAATAACATTATAAAACGGAACAAACATGACAATGTATCCGTCAGCAAACTGATATTTTTTTTCACTAATATTTATTCACATTCAACATTTAAGTAACTACCACCACCCTCCTCTCGAAAAAAAAAAAAATAAGTACAGTCTGAGCAACAAGCGATTGAAAAATGATGCGCTGTGATTGGCTAGAAACACGAGTCGCCATTTTTATTCCAATTTAGCTGGTCGTTATGCTGAGGATTAGCCGGGTTGTCTGGAATAAAGCTTTT